CAGGGCTGAGGAGAGGTGGCAATGGATCAGGTGGGAGCCTCCGGGACCTGTCTTCTGAGCTGCCCTACAGTTTGGGGTTCTGTTACTCTTTTAAGAACACCTGTTCTCTTCCTGTTAGGAAGCAACCATGAGCTGAGACCAGCAGTAAGCCCCTTCCCACGTGTGTTCTCTACAGACCTGAGCTCACAGTCACTATTCTGTAGGTGAAGACATCAAAGCTCCGATATAATAAGAACTCGCTTAGCACCTCCAGCCCATGGCTGGCAAACCTGGAATTCAGGCTGCTAGACTCCAGGATGGAGTCTACAGAAAACAGAAAGGAGAGAATTGGAGTAGGGTACACACGGGCATGGTTCACACCCTGAGGTTCCCAAGAACAGCAGCCTGACCTCTTGGTGGCATGTGAATCTCCATCCCACCATGAACCACCCTGACCTCACCTCTCAGGGTGTCCCCCTGTTTCTTCCTCTGCAGCAAGAACAAATATTAATGCCTGCACCTGGGTTGCCTCAAGCATTAATTGAGACCTGAAAAAGCCCAGACAGCACCTGCTCCTGACAAGGGCTCCTCGTGACAGCTGCCAATCCCTTCACAGCTGCAGGCTTGTTGAGCTGGAGCTTGGTAATGCGGAGTGGGGACAGATTCTAAGCACAGGGTTCACTGTCCCGTGGGCCAGGCGCATAGGTTTGAAACCTCAGATATAGAACTCCCACGAGTCACTGCACCCTTTCCGAACCCTGGAATCCGGGGTGAGAGGTACCCACCCAGCGTAATCCTAGGGCGCCATTGGCTGCCTCGGCCTCTCCTCCCTGGAACTCCACGCCTCAGTTGCACTGAGGCGCAGCTGAGCTGAGAGCCTACCAGGGTGTTTGTATTTCCCACCCATCCCCCCTCCTAAGCCACAGCCTTCTGGGAGTGTTCTCTGGGCTCCTCTCGGCCACTCTGAAGCCATGTGGCCCTGAAAGTCACAGCAAGAAGGCCCTAGGAATTCCCTATTACCTACCCAACCTCAGAGATCACATGGCTTCCGGGGGAGGGGGAGGCTTTACGCCTGCGTGCCCAGGTAGGGACCTAGCTCTGTTGGCAGCTTTGCATACTGCCAAACCACTCTCTTAATGACAATACCAGCAGGGCCCCCCTGCCATCACACACTGAACACTCAGTGTGTGCCTGGACCCCCGTGATCAGTCTTTCTACTCATTCTCTCCCTCAGAGTCCTCGCAGCACCCTCATGAGACATGAGATTGGCCTTATCAATAACCCGACTGGATAGGTGAGTACCTGTGGTGCTTTGGGAGCCTCCCCAAAGTCAGCCAGCCAAGGAATAGCAGAGGTGGCTGAAATGGCTCTTGTTCAAAGTGTGCAGTCCCCTGAAATGAAAGCCCCTCACCACCTACACCACCTAAACTCACCTAAACCACCTACCCACCTACACACTGCATGGATAGGAAGGGTGCCAACTCCCACAGAAAGCCAACGGTTGGGGCAGTGAATACTTTATGCAAGGTCCACAGGTTCTGCCAGGAGGCTACAGCCCTCAGGCCTGTACCACTGCTTCTTGGGGCTCGGTCCCAGCCATTGCTTCTTAGGTTCCCATCCCTCTCAGGTCCCGCTGTGCACACCCAACACTTAAAACCCATGGCAGTGACTGGGAGAGGATCCTTTTGAGCTCTGTGAACTGCTGCCTTCCATCTTGTGTTTCAGCCCTATCTCCGCAAGGGACTGCCCTAGGCCTAACCTCACACTTCTTTTGAAACCCCTACGTGTTTAGACTAGTGCTGTCCTTCTAGATTTCTCAGAGTGAGTGAGTGACTGACTGACTTACTGACTGACTGACTGACTGACTGAGTGTGAGCGAATGAATGTGTGAGTGTGAGTGAGTGAGTGTGAGTGAGTGACTGAGTATGTAGATTGTGTTACCTAAGGAAATAAAGGGTTCTGAGGAGAAGAGAGCATAGAAGGGAGAAAAGGAGGAAGGAGAGAAAGGATGACTGAATGGAGAAGAGAAAGGCAGAAACTCTGCTATCCCACTCTCAGAGATAAGGAGGCAGAAACCCCAAGACAAGAACCAACAGCACGTGCCCCAACAGGCCAGGTCCTCTAGCAGAGAACAAAAAACATCTGCTCAAGGGAGACAGCCCGTGAGCCAACCCAAAGGTGTGGCTGAAAGTCCTGATAAGATGTTTTTAGATAATTTGACTTTAAAAATAAAAAAACAGATAAGTAATGTTTTCAATGATACGAAATAGCCCATAAATTGTGTTGCTTCGTTTTTTTTTTTTCTTTAGAATTCTTTAAAATAAAATAAAATTGTCTAGAGCCCCATGTCAGCAGGTGCTAAGATCATTAGGCAAGCATCCTGCTAATCTTCCCCTCTTTGCCTTCTGTCCAGATGTGCTCCCTGCCTTCCCCAGAGCATGGCATGGACACACTTAGCCATGCTTTAAAATGCATCCTACCATCTTGCCTTCCTTTTCTCCCCATCCTTGAAGGTTTCCACCAAATCCACACCTTCCCCAAGACCTTCCCTGGTCACCCCAACATTTTACAATCATTCCCTGTGCTCACAAATCAAAACCCTACCCTTCCCTGGCTCTTGTTATCATGGGGCCTTGTTCTCATTCTGGGAATGAGAAAAAATCTACGACTGAGTGGTTGCTCCGTGGGGGCTATACCTGTTATCCACTGATGACCGAGATAATTCCACACCCCTGACTGAGCCCTGTCCTGCACTCACGTAGGATTTGCTGGATGGGTTGGGGAGGTCTTTGTGCATTACCTTCTAATTTATTCACTGAAGCGTGAGTGTCTGTGAATGAAGCCCGGACAGTCTATCTGGAAAGTAGAGAATAAACTGACCGTTTTGAAAGTAAGTGTTCTGTATCACTGTATCATCCCATCTCTCACGTGACGTCATGGAGAGGAGTCAAAAAGAACCTAGGAGTCCTAGGACTTCCAGTTGCTGTTCAGTTTGCCCACCGGTGGCCTCCGTTAAGGGTGTATGGGGGAGTTTGAGCGTAGGAAGAGTTCCTTCACTAACCCAAGTGCTCTGAAGAATTTAATGAGAATTGAAGCAATGGTACCTAAACCAAATTCTCACGGTCACACGGGGCTGTTTGAGTGTAGCCCAAAGACCCTTCATTTTTATTCAGACCAACTCTGCTATGCATCAGCCTCTTAGTACTTAGCATACATTTTCCTATCAGGGTTCCCAGAAGCTCCAATTCACAGATGAACTGTTGAGATCTAAGGAGTCCTGGGGCCCCTGCCATAGAGGAGCAGAATGGCTCCAGCCAAACGCTTCATGCTGCCTGTGAGCATCTTCTTCTAAGGCCTACCTGAGGGCTTCTGTTCAACCTCTGGCTTAGTCACCAAATATATGGCTCTTGGCATCAAGTAAGAGCCCAAAGGCTCTTTACCCAGAAGAGCTGGGTAATGCTGGGACTCAGCTCCTCACTGCTGTGTGGCCTGAGGTAAGTCACTGCTGGCTCTGGGTCTGTGTTCTGAACTGAAGAATGGGTGAAAAGGCAGAGAGGCCGGCATGAGACCCCTGACTTCTCACAGGCCCTGCTTTTGTGATCTTCAGGGTGTCCAGAGCCTAGCCCCACTAAGCCCCACATCCAAGTCAGCACGGCCCAGCAGGGAGAAGCCACACACCCTGAGCTCCGCTTCACATAGCAAGATGGCTGTCTCCTGCACCACACTCTCCCTGCCATCCCATACATCCTGTAACCGAAATATGGGGGTTCATTGCTTTCTGTCACCACAAAGGCCAAGGAGCAGAAACAGGAATCAAATCTATGTTGTACTTGATTAGGAAGGATGGTGATCTGAAAAGGTGATATAGGTTAGCATCAGTGTAAAAAAAAAAAAAAAAAAAAAAAAAATTCCTTTCATCTCATCTCCAGCCAGCAGCTTCATGGGACATGGGGACTGACTGAGAGAATTAAGACTGTCAGCCACTCTGGAGCCCAGGCTCACGTCTCTGGCCAGGTGGTCAGATGCATTCCTGTGATGTGTGGGCTGCTATCATCCCTGTACTCCTCCCTCATTCTGTGGATGTCTGTGCTCAGGGGCTTCCTGAAATTCTAAGGCTAGTGAGCATCTGTGGTCATCAACCTCGTGCTCCTCCCCCAGCATCTGAGCTGGGGGTGGCGGGAACAGGCAAGCCGTTAGCAGTGCGGACATGCTGAGCTCCTAACAGCATCTATGTACTGACTCGGTTCTACAACATGGAGTGCAGATGTAAATCTGTAATATAGAATATAAAAGTGTCCCTATCTGTCCCGCTAGGGTCCTCTGTCATTCCCATGCTCTGGTGTTAGAAACATGGATTTGCCTGACTCTGTCTTCACCTTTCAGTTCACCCCCGCCCCTCTCCTCTGGTGTAGCCGGCTCACGCTGTGCTGTTTGAAATCGGTCCTCTCTGGTTGGCCCTGGGATTCACGTCTATTGACTGACACATGTTGGGAAGCTGGAAGACAGGAGCTGAGGAAGGGAGGAGACAGGGAGGAATGAAAGGTGACAGCTGATTCCATCAGGACTGCCGAAGAAGACCGGAGGAAGAGGCTTTGCATTTCCTCTGACTATCTTAGGGTAGGTACCTACAGGCAATGCCAACCTGGGAACGATGGCCAGCACCCACCAAGACTGGGATGGAGACCGGTGTCTGTTGGTCAGAACCTGAAGCATCTCCAATACCAAATATTGTGACTGCTCTGCAACTTTACTGCAGAGTGCCCAGACACCCCACGCGAGAACCGACAGAATCAGCCAGGGTCAGTTTTGCTATGCCAAGAGAACACTTTATTGGGTATGTTTCCAGGGGAACCTGGACTTGCATGGCGTAAAAAGCACAGTTAAGACCAGAAACAATAGGCGAATTTTAGTAGAAAAACCTGCTAAGCAAGGAGGAGATCTAGGGAAGCGCAAGATCATTCAGCTGCCAAGAGCCACACGGGTGTCCTCCTCCCTGTGGCCTCGGCCCCTCTGGCAGGTGGTCACAGCACACGGGGCACCACATGTTCCCTGGAGGAGATGACTCTTCCATCTCGGATCTCCTCGGTGATAGTACGGATCTGAGTGCTGACTTGGGGAGCTGGGGTGCAGGATCCAGCTGGGGCGCAGGGTCCAGCCGGGGCGCAGGGCGTAGAGGGGATGTAAGGAACTCTTACAGCAGGCTTGCATTCCATGGAACAAGGGTGGGCAGGAAGCCTGAAGCAATGAAATCACACGTAATGCACTTGGCATTGGAGCGTCAGACCAACGATGGGGGGGATGACATCAGAGCATTTCAATGACTCTGAAACCTCAAGGATTAGAGGATGGGGCTTTAGGAGGGAAGACTAGGAACTTTAACCAAAAAAAAAAAAAAAATGGTCAAAGGTGGGCTTGTACCTTGGGTTAGCTCGTCCCTTTGAGTAGTACCAGAGCCCTGGACCAGAAGGAATCTTCCATGGCTTTAGCTCCATTCCCTTCATCCTTCTAACAACCGCTCAGCTCTAAATGTGTGCCGATGCCTTCTCCCAGCCCAGATCTAGGGGCTCACTCACTTGCAGTCCTCGCCGTCCAGCAAATGGCGGTAGGTGGCAATCTCTGACTCCAGCCGGGCCTTGACATCCAGTAACACCTGATACTCATGGTTCTGCCGCTCGAGGTCACAGCGAATCTCAGCCAGCTGGGACTCCACGTTGGTGATCAGACACTGCATCTGGCCCAGCTGGGAGCTGTAGCGGGCCTCTGTCTCAGCCAGGGTAGAGTCCAGGGAATTCCGCTGGAGTGGGGGAGAGGAGCTATTGAGGGGAAGGAACCCCACCCTCAAAACCCACTACCCTAGGATCTGCACACAGTGGTGGTTAGGCTCTGTGATAGCGTAATGGCAGCACACTGGTAAGTCAGAGAGCCTTCAGTGAACTGTGTAGCCAGTCAGTTGGGCAGAGACCACCCACCATGCTCTGCTGGGCCTGCAGCTCGATCTCCAGGGCGTTGACCGTGCGTCTCAGCTCGATGATCTCTGTCTGGCAGCACTGAAGCTGCTCAGAGCTGGACACCACCTGCTGGTTCAGCTCCTCGGTCTATAGAGAAGGAGAGAATGCAGAACAGCATCAGGCCTAGTGTCCCTCCTTCACACACACACAGCCGGTAGCCCTGGATGGCAGCCCTACTTGAGTGTTGAACCAAGCTTCCACATCTCTGCGGTTATTCTCCACCAGTGTCTCATACTGGCATCGCATATCATCCAATATCTTGTTGAGGTCCACTGTGGGGGCAGCATCCACCTCCACATTCAGTCGGTCCCCGAGCTGGGAACGGAGTGTGTTGACTTCCTGCGGTGGCAAAAAAGGTGGCATAAGGCTATGGGAAAGTTGCTGGCTTGGCAGGTTCAATGACCTTCCTCCTTGGGAACTGTGAGACCAGGAGATAGACTTCCCTGAACATGGGTCCCCACACTGGTCTATCTATACCCAGCCCCTCCTGAGAATTTGGGGGAGGACAAAGCACCAAGAAAATAGAATTATTATCAGACACCATAACCCAAACGGAGTTGTAGTGTCATGGGTGAGGGTGTGGTCACTGTGTGACTGTAGGCAAATGACTCCATATCTTTATGACCATCTTCTCAGCTGTAAAATGGAGCTTGGGATGGAATCTAACTCTTGGAATTACCGGGAGGGTGAAACAAGATGTGGAGTATCTCATGTACTTCCTGCCATACAATCAGCCCAAGAGCCAGCAGGGATTCCTCGGCTGGATGGCTACGTTGGGGATCATGTGACCGCAGCCTCACCTCTTCATGGTTCTTCTTGAGACACAGCAGCTCTTCCTTCAGGGACTCCACCTGCGCCTCCAGGTCAGCCTTAAACAAGGTCAGCTCATCCAAGATCCGGCGCAGGCCATTGATGTCAGCCTCCACCAGCTGCCGCAGGGACAGCTCCGTCTCGTACCTGCACATACAGAGCCCTGCCAAGTCTGCAGCAAGGGAAGCCCTGTCCCAAACTGCCATAGCTAACTTGGAGTCAGAAACGCAGTGGTCCTATCCCTTGTCCTGGGAGGGATCCCGGGCCTCTGCCAGGTCTTCCCCTTTACAGCTGTATCTGGCTTTGTTCCCTCCTCACCAGCTCCCAAAAGCAGGAGGAGTCGGGGTTTGACACAGAGCAAACCTCCCCTGGTTGGCCCACTCACTTGGTCCGGAAGTCATCAGCAGCCAGCTTGGCATTGTCAATTTGTAATACCAGCCTGGCATTCTCAGCCTTGGTCAGCAGGATCTGAAAAAAAAAAAAAAAAAAAAAGACGGTTTCCATGAACTGAGGAAGGCTCAGCAATGTGATGTCAATGGAGGCTCACCGATGCCTCTAAACCCAGGCAACATCTTCAAATATCCAGGCCTGGAGTGAGAACAGGTCCAGGAGGGACACCATTTCACTGGCCCATTGTTCCTAGCTTGTGTTGCCTCTGAGCTGGCCCAGGAGAATATATCAGGGTGAGGTGGACCCGGCTTCTGATTCTGGACCCCACATTCAAGTTGTGTGGTCTTTGAGCAAGTTGCTGAGCCACTCAAAATTCAACCTCCTTATCTGTTAGATGAATATAGTAATATACACATCTCCCGGGTAGAGAGAAAGTAAGCCAATGGCTAGGAAGGTATTGGTACAGTCATACACCAAGTACTACACCAAGATAAAGGATATGATCCTTCCCTCCCTAAGCTAAGACAATGAGGGAAATAGAAGAATGGCTGCTGCACAGGGTACACAGACGAGCAGAGAAGAGAACCAAGTCCCAGAGAGTAGAGTTCTACTTCTGGAAGAATTTCCATAGGCTTCAGTCCCATCTGGCTGAGTCTTTCAATGGGAGGCTTCCAGGAGCTGCCTGGCTAGCTGGAAGGACCTGACCCATTACCTTCTGCTGCAAGTCCTCGGCGGTCTTAAAGTAGGACTGGTAGTCCGGGCAGATGTATGGGACCTGACACTCATACCACTCTCGGATGCGGCCCTCCAGCTCTGCATTCTCTTTCTCCAGCTGCCGCACCTTCTCCAGGTAGTTGGCCAGTCGGTCATTCAAGACCTGCATGGTCGCCTTCTCGTTGCCATTGAAGGCGCCCTCACAGAACCAGCCCCCGCTCCCGGCAAAGCCAGAGGAGTGGCACCCAGAGGACAGGAAAGAGCCTGGCAAGCAGCTCCCGAGGCCAGAGAAGCCTGTCCTGAAAGAGGACGTAGACCCCACAGTGCCAACCAAACTGGGGGCCCTGTAGGAGCCCACGGAGGAGTGGATGGAAGACATTCTAGAGAAGCTGCCTGTGGTGCCACAGAGGCCCTTGGCAGACCCGGTGGAGAAGGTCGGAGCGCAGATCTGGGTGGCCATGATGCTGGTGAGGAAGGTTGCAGATTAGACGGGATCTCCAGCTGTGGACTCTCCGGCCTCCCTGGAGTGCTTATATACACTCTCCTTGGGGTGTTGGCATGTTCCAGGTCTTTAGCTCTTGGGAAAGCCCTTTCTGAGCTCAGAAAGCCTATCTCATTAGAATGACATTTTTGCTATCCATCAGAATTCCCTTCCTTGTAAAAGAAAAAAAAAAATTGTTCAACTGGGTTTGCTAAGTCAGGACTCTCAGCCATCATCGTCTGCTAGAAGACTAAATTTTATAGCCACTTCAAAGAGTCCTTTGCCCCAGATCTCATAAACTGGGAGTGGCCTTGCATATGACATTTGGTTTCTGTCCTCCCTACCTTCCTTTCCCCTGAGGAGTTCATTCTGTCCATCCATCACCCATAGTCCCACAGCCACTTATCTATGCCTAGGCAGCCAGAGCCATGAAAAGGTAGTAAAGAATATACAGTGAAATATTATTCAGCCATAAAGAAAAATAAAAATATGAAATTTGCAGGAAAATAGATGAAACTGGAAAGTACTGTGTTGAGTGGGGACACTGACAAGCCCCATGTGTTCTCTATCATCTACAGATGCTAGCTTCTAATTTTACACTTTGTGTTTTTATGTAGGAGTGTGTGTAGAGGCCAGACAACTAGAAAGGAACCCATAAAAGAGACTTCAAGGGGTAGAGGTGAAGAAAGTAATAGAACATGTGATGTGAATATGGAAAGGGGAAAGTAGGGGTGCAAAGGTTAAGTGAGGTTAGGGAGCAGGGAGATGGGGGCAAAAGGAGAGGGGAGTAGGGTCAAGCAAAACTAACACATATCTATTTACATAGATACATTCCATAAGGAACCTGATGCCTTGTAAGCTAATTTTAAAAATAAGGTAAGAGCCAGCAAGTGGCTCACTTACCTAACAACCTTTGAGTTTGATCCCTGGATCTCAAAGTAGAAGGGATCCAGGGAGTTCTGATTTCTGAGGGATGTCCTCTGACCTCCTCACACACACACACACACACACACACACACACACACACACACTGGGGCATGGGCTTTTGCACTCACATGCACATATTATGCACACATACACACAATAACGATGATGACGATGATGATGATGATGATGAAGATGAAACAATGATGATGGTTTTTTAAATAAAGTTTTTAAAAGAAAGAACGTATGCTTGGCCAGTGGGGTGGCTTAGTTGGGGAAAGGCACTCGCGGCCAAGCCTGATGACCTAAGTTCAATCCCCAGACCCGGATGGTAGAAGGAACGAACCAACGACATCAAGTTTCCCTTTGATCCTCACACATGTACCAGGTTTGCGTGCACCTGTGTACACACATATGCACAAAATAAATAAATGTAATTTTTAGATTTTTCAATTAATACAATTAAAAGAGAACTGTAACAGGATTTTTTACTACTCTGTGGGCTTTTCTCTCTTCCACCCTTCCCCACCCCTTTTCTTCCATCCTTTCAACCGATAACACTAGGAGAGAAAAAAAGGATAGAGGGGAAAGTGGAGGGTGACATTATTGTTAGACTACTTCCTGCTGATTAGGGGCACGAAGTTGCTCAGGGCAAGTTTGATCTTCTCTGTCAGGATATCTAATTTCCTCTTGTTGTTGTATCTTCTTTTCACCCAACTGCTTAACAAACCGCATCCAACAGCATCCAACCACCAACCAGCAACCCACCTATCAGGGTCCTAGCCTTTATATACCCTCTGAAAAGTCCCCAGAGTTCCAAACATCACACAACTGCAGAAACTATCTGCCCCTGGAAAAAACATGCCTCTGCTGGAGCATGAGGCAAACCATAGCCATCGGCTGTGAAGTAGTCCCCATATCCCCTCACCTGGGACTAAAACGAAAACATGTTCTCATAGCATTTCTGTGTTTTTCTAAAGAAACCAAAATTATAAAAATTCTCACCATGGAGAATTAGATGTGGTGGTGTGCCTGTGGTGTTTGGGGCTGTAACTCTTCCACTTGGATTCAAAACAATCATGGAACACAGCTGATCATGACCAGCAAACCTCAATCAACTGCAATCTGTTGCTTAAACACTCACGCTCGGGGGTGCAGGTAACACTTAAACTTGAAACCAGAGCCCTTAGACCCCAGTTCAGGGTACCTAGAACTTATGGACAGGAGACCAACATTCAAATCCTAGTTCTATAAATCATTCACCCTGTATCACTGAGCATGTCACCTCCCTGAGATACTTGGTGGCCTGATGGGAACAGTGGAAATCACTGTGCTGTTCTGCCTACTTCACACAGATACGAGGAGGATCCAACGACAGCCGAAATGTGCTTTGACAGTCCCTATACACTCTAGAAGTGCTGGTTAGTCAAGAAAGTCCTCAATGGTGATTTACGGTAAGGACAGCAAAGGCTCATGGGTATAAACAGTCTTTGGGAGTTGCTGAGGTATCTGTGCCCCCCTTGAACACAGTATAGTGACAGCAGGAGAAGGAGATACCCCATAATCAATCCTCCAGACAGTTTATGAGCTGGTCTTCATGGAATTCACCTGTTTGGAGCCATGGGCAGGGTTGAAAGACTGCTTCCCTTGTGGTGTTCACCTTCTCTGAGCCTAAACCATTTACACCTTCCTGCTCACTGAACACATCCCAGAGGTGACCAATGGCAGAGAAGAAGTAAAAAAGAACAAAACTAAATACTACCAGATGCCTAAATCAAGACAGGAGACCTTGAAAACTGTGGACCAAAGATAAATTCGTTTCTTCCACCTGAAACCCTGGACCTTCCCAAGAATGGGAGACGACCCTGTTTGCTCTTCCCCCATAGAGTCATTTTGCAAAGCCAGCATTTATGGAAGCATTTATGTGCTTCTGAAGCTGTGGTTCTCAACCTCTTAAAACACTTTATAAGCTTCTCTGTGAGATTACTCAAGAAGGGTGATTGGCTGTGATGAACACACCCAGTACGGAAGATACCTCCACAGGAGCTCAAGAGCAGCTCCAGGCAGCTCTTCCTGGTAGAGAGAGCAGGGGCTTGTCAGCCTCTGCCCCCACAGCTCTAGCTGCCCCACCACAACTTCCCCCCATGGCTCCCTATCTCCCAGCTGTCCTGTAATATCTAAGACTACTCTATCCTGGGGCTTCTCAACTCCGCAGTGTAGACAGTGGGTTGGACAACCCTGAGCTGTTCAGGGCTACCCTGGACACTGTAAAGTTTCTGTGATATTTCTCACCTCCAGCACCCAATGCCATGCCACACTCGTCTCTGTCTCCCTATCTGTCCTGCCCTCCTGTCATGCCTCTTGTCCTGGGGTAGGAGGGAACTCACACTAACTCCCTGTTCCTTTTACACAGGGACCCAGGTGGGAGGCCACAATTGTACAAGAGGCTTTCCCAGACTTATTAGGCCGGCTCATTCATTCATTCACTCACTCATTCACTCATTGAAAATTCATTGGGAACCTACATTGCGCCAGACTTGTTCTAGGTGTTGGAGAGAGACAGTAAAAAAAAGATGAAGTTTCAGCATTCACAGAGCTTGCATTGCTCCCTGACGCAGAGACATTACCCTGGAAGGGAAGGGTGTTGATATCATCCACATCTGACAAACTGCTGAACTATCAGGACAGAGATTGGAGTCCTGATCACACTTCCTCTGAGACCCCCACTTTGTCTTCTAGAAAAACCATGGCAGAGTCTACTGTCTCTGTTGGCCTGCCCAGGCGAACCCACAACACACATGAACCCATTTTGCCTTGTTAGCCACACAGTGTTTGCCAGGCACAATAGGCAAGATGGCAGCTCTTAGCAAACACTCCACCGAGTTTTTCTAACATCAGTCCAACATGAACTATCCTGAGGAGCAGGAGATGTGGACTCCTAGCTCTGCCCTAATTCCCTGAATGAGCCCCATGCACTGTGTGTCTCAGCTCATCTGAACAGGGGAAGGGGCTGGACAATGACCTGACCTCCACCCACTGCGGACATATAGCAGTTAGCTGCCACAAGCATTCCATGGAGACTTAGAGTTGGTGGGACACGGCTGTGGTTTGTTCTCTATTCCCCATAGCCCCCGTCCCTATCACTGGAAACACAGAGGTTCAAACACGTGGCACAAGTGAGGTTTCTTTTCTTTCAGAACATCCGCTACTGTAGGGTTTCCCTTGCCTCCGGCATCACACGCCACAAGAAAATGACAGGGGCTTCCTCCACACCTTCCAGCAGCAGCATTGGCCTACCTCCCCAGGCTGGTCCTGAGAAAGGCTCCTTCAAGAGGTCAATGTTACTGGACATCCCACCGTGCCCAGGCTAAAATGACATCGACAGCCAAATGAGCTGGAGACCTTGCTGTAAAAAAAAAAAAAAAAAAAAAAAAAAAATTCAGAGAACATAGAAGTCTAAGCTCATGCCACTAAACCTCAGCCTTACCGATAGGTGAATGGATCTCTTCTCTTGCCAGTTACAGAATTGTGAAAACTCTCCCAAAGAGGGCTTGATAAACTAGAAATTATGCCCTCAGTTTCAAACACCAAAACAACTCCAAAACCCACGTAAGAGGGACCAAAGCCAAATGCACTTTCCAAGGCACCAACCACACTTACTGGAATGCTGGCTTTTGAGGCCCAGCCCAACTGTCCAAGAACAGACAAGATCCCAGAAAGGCAGTGTCTTTCCTTGTGCAGAGTGCAGCAAGTCCCTTTGGCCAGGCTTCTCTATCCGGCCCCTGCCCCTTACCCGAAAGCAGTGGTTCTCACCTTCCTAACACTGCAGCACCTCGTGTTGTGGCGACCCCCAACCATGAAATCCTTTTCGTTGCTATCCCATAGCTGTAAATTCGGTGCTGTTATAACTCATGAGGTAAATATCTATGTTTTCTGATGGTCTTAGGCAACCGCTGTGAGAGGACTCAAGGGGTCGTGACCTACAGGCTGGAAACTGCTGCCCTGGCAGTTTCTCCAGGCCCAGGCACCAATTGCAGTGCAGAGAATATTCCCTG